GGTAACCCATCTTCTATAACTTCGGACACATCTTGAAAACCAAAGATGGCTTGCATCTTGATGCGCCAGTCATCAAATAGTTTCCCATCAAATACAGGCAGTTGCCCCTGTATTCCTCCAATGCCTGCCATCACTTTCTTGCTAGCTTCTTGATTTACCCACACACAAAGGAACCTCCTTTCTCCACTTCCAGTCACCAATCACACACCCACTGTACACACCAGAACCAACAAGCACCTATGCTCTTGATACCATATTAGTGTAAGGGCAGAAATGGAAAAACACAAGTGGTAAGGGTAAAACCGAGAAAGCACAGGTCAGAGATAGGATTAAGTGATAATCCCACGTGCAAGAAAGAGAAAGCTGAATCAGAGACTTAGAGAGAAAGAGAGAGCGAGAATGAGAGCTCGAGAATGGAGAAAACTAGGGTTCGTAACCCTTGCTGGAAAAGCAGAGATGAAGGTGATCAGAGTAGAGAGAAAAATGAAAGCAAGCACACATACAAGGTACTGAGTAACATCTAAACTGTATTTCTGTTTTAAAATGCTTTTATAGCTTGTTCTGATACATTGAATCTGAATTGTTTTTGTTTATTCTAACATTTACTTCTCAAATTATGAAAGTTGTGTAACTTTTTAAAAATTTGAAACAAATCGGATCATATTAACATGATTTCGTAAGGAAGAAATTGTGTCAACACGATTTTATTAAATTTGACTTGAAGTATCATCATGACATAGCTTTAAATGAAATATAACAAAATCATTCCAAAATTTACTTCTTTTTTAAGTCTTGTCAACATTACACGACTTGTCCAGTTTCAAAATTTTTTAAAAAGTTGTATCATTTTCATAATTTCAAAACCTAATTACTCCACATTAGAAAAAAAAATATTGGCGTAGTGGAAATTTCCATGCAAATCACTTATTTTTGTAAATTGGTTTGCAACAAAAATGTTTTTTGGTAAATACTATTTCCCCCGTTTTGCACTGCTGCGTCTTCAATGAGAAGAGACAAAAAGTAATTTACTTACAAATTTTAAATTTTCTCTCACATTTTTAAGAGTGACATACATCGATGGTTAATGATTAGTTAAACTATTTTAAGTATAATATAATGAACAACATTAATTTTATAAATAACGTCATATATAGTGATTTCTTACCATAAACTAATAAAAACAATTGATCCATTAATAACAATTTTAGAAAGATCATAAAATCAATTAACTTATCTATTTTTACACATTGTTGTTTAGTTAAGAAAGAAAATTGGCTTATCACAAACCATGAGCACTTATCGATCGAAATCAAAGTGAACAAAGACATATATATTGTTCCTTGAAAATAAGATTAAAACATGTAATTAAGATGTTAAAGAAAAACCATTTTACACCATTATCCCATCCATCATAGAAAAGTCTTAAAAAAACCCAAAAAACAAAGCTAAAAAAGAGAATATTTAGGGTAGAAAAGATATAGGGACAGCAGGAAAATGCAACAAAATATCAGAACCATGGCTAAAGAAGGGCTTTATTACCTCATACTCCGAGGATCGTTCTCTTCCTTACAATCCCACCGACCACCTTTGTCCCCCTCAACCATTCCTTCAAAGAAAAAAAACTTTCATAAACAACATGGCTCCAACACTTTCACCTCCTTTGCCACCTTGACTTCCACACCATAACATTAAAAGACAGGAGGAGGATATGGCCTTTCCTCTTCCCTCCCCATTACGCCTCCTGTCTTATCTCCTCCTCCTCCTCATCGCCACCGCCACCGCCACCACCACCTCTTTCGCCGCCACCATTCAACACGAAGTCGTGCGAAAACCGGTCCCCGACTTCCCCACCTTCCGAGAAGCCCCTGCATTCCGCAACGGAAAGACATGCAACAATGACAGCATTCACATTTCCATGACGTTGGACTCAAACTACCTCAGAGGAACCATGGCCGCGGTCCTCTCCATTCTCCAGCACTCCACGTGTCCAGAAAACTTGGAGTTCCATTTCCTCTGGGCAAGGTTCGAGCACCAGGTCTTCACCACCATCAAGACCACCTTTCCTTACCTCAGGTTCAAAACTTATCGCTTCGACTCCAATAGGGTACGTGGAAAAATCTCCAAATCCATTCGCCAAGCCCTTGACCAGCCTCTCAACTACGCACGAATCTACCTCTCCGACATTCTCCCAGGTAGCCTTACTTTAGCTTCTTCTTCGCATAATAACTAACCACAACTATGTTTTTCGTAAATACCAAACTTTTACAGATGAAAAAACAAACCAAATTCTCCACATTTTAGACATAAACTAGTTTTATCTTACAAACAAATTCATGTAATCCAATAAGTTGGGCATCACGTAACATAGATCCGTCTTGGATTTTCACGTGAAAACTCATCAGATTATAGTCTAACACAATTCATGTGTTTTTCTTATTTTGATCCTGTAAAAGTGATTTATGAGAAGTTTATCTGATAATATATATTATGACGAGCCTTATTACTTGCAGGTTACGTGAAACGCGTGATATACCTGGACTCTGATATCGTGGTTGTGGATGACATTGCAAAGCTGTGGGAGGTTGAGTTGGAGGGGAAGGTACTGGCGGCGCCGGAGTATTGCCAAGCGAATTTCGTGGTGTATTTCACGGACTTGTTCTGGAACGACAAGGAGTTAAGTAGGACGTTCGAGGGAAGGAAGCCCTGCTATTTCAACACGGGGGTGATGGTGATGGACGTGGAGAAATGGAGGGAGGGGAAGTACAGGGAGAAGATGGAGGCATGGATGATGGTGCAGAAGCAGAAGAGGATCTACCACTTGGGTTCTCTGCCTCCTTTTCTTCTGGTTCTGGCTGGGGAGTTGAAGAGTGTGAACCACAGGTGGAATCAGCATGGGTTGGGAGGTGATAACCTTGAAGGCAGGTGCAGGAGTCTTCATCCTGGGCCTATCAGTTTGCTCCATTGGAGTGGCAAAGGGAAGCCATGGTTGAGGTTGGACTCCAGAAGGCCTTGCTTTGTTGATCATCTCTGGGAACCCTATGATCTCTATCGTCCCAATACTCATGCTTTTGAATGAAAATCATGATCAACTTCTTGGGGGAAGGTAGGACAAATTACTGCTTTGAATATTTTTCATCACATGAACATTGCTCATATATACACTATATCACATATTACATATTGAAAGCCTTGGAAAATGAAAAATCCCAGTGAGGGAGGTTAATGAGAAGGAATGAAGAAAGGAAGAAATTCAAACGACAGGTAAAGTTCCAATTATACCATTTGCAAAATCTTCTTTGTATGTTTTGTTTTAAGCATGAGATATGATTAAACATACAGTGTGTTTTTGCAGTTTGGTGTGGAAGAAAAGCTTAAGACAGCTGCTTTGAATGCAAGGGACATGATCCAGAAAAACAAGAACTATGAGTATAGATATACATAGTTGTTGGACTGGAGATTATACATATGTCCATGACTAAAATATTTATTAATTTTAATTTAATATCTTGATAGAATTTCTACATTTCCCCCCAGCTCAACTGCTGCTAGAAAACATTTTCCGTTTTTATTCACATTTTTTACTAGATGTGCATGTAGCAAGTGTTTTTCTTCGATGTTAACACGGATCCATAGTTCTTGACACTCACAAGTTTTGAATTTGTTAACTAAATTTTAAAAAATAATTATATTTTGATACTGAATTTTTATTTTATTTTCACTTTACAACTTCTTTTAATCATAAAATATTATATTTAATAAATAAAAACAAAATTTTAAAATAAAATAATAATATTTATAATTTGAAATGGGAGTTTAAGAAAACGGTAATATCAAAACGTTGCAGTCCAACTTTTTAATAGTGAGGTGTTAATATAGTTAATTTACCGAGTGTTTCATCTCCAACTCCAAAAGTTCATTTACACCTTCGTAATACTAAAAATACTCTTGTTGGCATTCGAAAACCGGTTCAAAATTTTACTTAATCAACGTAAAAAAAATTATTTAACTAATTTTCGAACACTGGTTAAAGATTTTTTTCTTTTGTTTTTATTTATTAAAAATAATAAAAAAACATATTAAAAATATTAAAAATTTAATATTTTAAATTGAAAAACTAAATTTAAAAATTATTTATTTAAATTTTATAATTAAAAATTACTTTTTAATATAATAAATATTTAATTAATTTAAAAACAAAAAAACTTAAAAAAAATATATGTTAACCGTATTTGGAAATTCGGTTAACACTTTTATAATTGAAACCGTAATTGGAAAAATGTTAATCGTATTTTCAAATACCGTTAACATGTTTTTTTTTTATTTTTTTGTTTTTAAATTAATTAAATATTTATTATATTAAAAAAACAATTTTTAATTATGAATTTTAAATAAATAATTTTTAAATTTAACTTTTTAATTTAAAATTTTAAATTTTTAATATGTTTTTTTATTATTAATAATAAATGAAAACAAAAGTTAAAAAAATAAATCCTTAATCGGCTTCGATTAAGTAAATATTTTAACTGTAATTCGAACGTCGTGATTCGAATCGGATTAAGTAAATTTCTTAACCGATTTTTGAATACCCACAAGACAAGAGTATTTTTGGTATATTTTTGGTATTATGGAGGTGCAGATGAACTTTTGGAAGTGTAGGAGAACTTCTCTAAATTATTTAGTGTGATACCTTATACCCGTTAAAAGTTATATACATCCACTTTATAACTTAAAATATTAATATTTTTTATTTTCTTATATGTTTTAATTTTAAATATCAACGTATGATATTATATTATTATAATAATGGTCAAGTGTATATGTACTTGTTTTTGGATGACTTGTCAAACCCCATTTCCATATATAAAATAATAGTAATGATAGGATATTAGACTTTTATATTTATTTAACATGTAATATAATACTATATATGTAATATAATACTATATTATACTAAGGAAGGATAATATTAAATGAATATAAAAATATTTGTGTGGGTCAAATTATCTTTTTTCTATAAAGATTGAAAAACGATGATTTGACATACACAAATTCTTTACATTCTTATATTCATGTTATGTTGTTAATATTGTAAAGAGTTATATTTGATTTAAATCTTACTACAAAGGGATTACATAATCAATAAGTTTATACTATTTTCTCATTGATCATTTAATTCTTTTAAATGATCTTTTATCTTATTTTTACTATTTTATGCAACAATACATAAATCATAACTTTATTTCAAATTATAATAAAATCACATATTATCCACTATCATTATTTATCAATTATTGATAGAAGGAGCTAAACTTACCTCTTTATATCTTTGTTTTTAATGATGAACAATAGAATGATTTAATGGTTTCTTACACAACAAATGACATAACAAATGTTTTATATTGATCATGTTTGTGCTTGATATGTGAATTCATTATTGATGAATGAATCATACTTAAAACAGATTAATAATCTCATTTTTACTAATCGATTAAACAAGGTATATAATATATTAGATTTAACCAGATCACTTAGAAAGCTTAACAGGAGAAAACTGCGTTGTAGTAATCGATTATACAAGGTATATAACCGATAAAAACAGAGAAAATGCATAGTTTGTTATATAAGTGAGATATATAATCTATTAAAGATGACTAATGGATGAATAATATAGACAAGTGTAAAAATAATCGATTACATAAGTTTGTTAATCGATTAAAATAGAAAAATAGTCTAATACATTATATAAATAGCCTAATATATTAAGATTGTTAAATGAATCATTAATAGGCTTAAGTGTTTAAATAATCAAATATACACATAGAATAATATGTTGAAACAGAGAAAAAACATAACTGATTATACAATTAACATAATCGATTATAATGCGACAGAATTTGAAAATCTCATATATATGTGACTTGAAATATTAACATTGTCATTGAGTTATGATTACAAATGCTTTCAAGAAGAGTTCTTGAAGAATTTATGCTACATTGGTTGATTACCCATCAAGATTCATTAAGAGTTTGTGCTAAAGTTGTTCTGATTTGATCTGCACTAGAGGAGTGTGACTCAGAGATCAGGTTGCTCATAGACAATCTTTGCATTGTTTTCCTGTGCGGGTTTGCCAGGGGTTAATGGTTGTGAGTGCTCTTGTATTATAAGAGATTGAGGACTGTTCATTTCTTGGGTTGCTATATTGATTTTGACTAGTGAGAGGAGTGCATTGAGAGAGGTATCTCTGTATTTATGTAAACTCAATCAATTATAATGAATTCCCTTCAACTCAAGTTGTTTAAAGAAGATTGAACGTAGGCTTGTGATAACCAAACCAATATAGATTATCTGTGTTGATCTTTCTCTATCAGTTCTCTCTTGTTTATTCATTACTTCTTGTTTATTAATTTGAAGAAAGTCAAAGAACTTATAAAGATTTTGAAAAAAATCCTTTTAAAAGGCTAATCAAATTCACCCGTCTTATCTTGAGATATAAGACCTTTCTTATCTTACATTAATAAATCATGTTTACTAACAAATTATTTACACATGAAAATTCATTAGTAAAGAGATCATCTATAAAGATTATTGACAACAAAAAAAGTCATTTCCTATTGCACAAATATGTAAATACACAAAAAACTCCATTAGTAATATAGTATTATCTACAAATAGAAATTTGTAGGTAAAATAATAGTAAGTAACATTATTTATGAACTTATCCTTAGATAAATTACCCATTATATATTTTTAGACCTAATTTTCATTAGTAAGTATGCTTTTTTAAAAGATTAAAATATTCAAATTATAAGTTACATTTAATGTATAAATTAAAATTTTAACAATTTAAAATTTTAACAATTTAAAATTTTATTGATTTTTCTAAATTTTTTTTTATAAAACTCATGTTAGGCATTTAAACATCTAAGTTAGGCTCACATATCAAAGCACATTAATAATTTTTCATAACATGAAAAATATTATAATACAAAATGATAAAAATCATAAGTACCAAACTAAACTCAAGCACAAAAAATACTATATCATACCTATTATAAAAATTTCATAAGTTTATACCTATAAATACATAGTAAACTTCTTTCCAAACAAGCTAAATAACTTTAAACATAAAAAGTTTATACGTATTATAAAAAAAAAATCAGAAAAACCCTTAGAAGACATAATATTATACAGTGAATTTTATTTTTTAATTCTAAAAAAGTCAAGTTACATTTAAAATAAGTTTTCTTCCAAAAAAAAAAATAGAACACTTAAACTTTATTCTTTTATCTATCTCTAAATATTTTCCTCACCATCTTTTAGCATCTTTTAGAGATTAAGGAACAATTTGAAAAATCAAAGAAGGATTTTCTAAACTTTCTTCCTTTACAATTTATATGCTTTTTTTTTTCAAAATCGTGAAACTTCTCCTCATTTGAGAGACAACAAAGTTTATGACAATATCATATATTTGTATTTTGTTTAGAGTAGTTTTTATTTTCTTTCTAAATCTCACTTTTGTTCTTTTTTTAATGAAATTTGTCTACGTAATATTTTAAGTTTGCATATATGAAATATGAGCTCAATAAATTCATATAGGTTAGTTTGGGATTTTAGAGGTATGTTTGGTTTTTCAATTAGTCCTCTTTAGATAAAATTAGAATTTTCCTAAGTCTATTCAACTTTTATATTCTATTTTAGAAGTAGAGCAAGAGAGGTCAAAAAGGTAGATTATTTATGCATTTATTTCAAATTTATGACTTATTGAATTTTTTCTTCATTAAAAATGTAATGAGTATATATTAATTACATCAAATATAATTAGATATTATAAATTTTATATAATAATTTATTTTGTTTTTCTATTTAACTTATTTTTATGTTTCTATTATATATAGTCTTTTATTTTATGCAAATACACATTGATTCCCTAAATTATTTTATTTCTTTATTCTTTTATATGGTATTTGGTACGTTGTTGATGATGATATCAAATGATATTTTTAACATAAACAATTTCAATATTGTCAAGTTAATAATTAACAAAATAAATAAAATTAAATTAACAACACCAAATAAAGAATTGATTTCTAATAATTTATTCTTATATAATTCTATACG